ACCGGCCCGCCCGCGTCCCAGCCCCACCCGCCTTTCGGATCAAGTCCCGGTCCTCAGCTGCCGGCGTGGGAGCAGCGCTTGGGCGGTGCCAGGTGACTTGGGAGGCGAAGTTCCCCTTTAATTGCGACCAGCCCTCCCAAACCAACCCTCCTAAACGGGCAACCTCGATAAAAACTACGCTTGCGGTGCAAACGTCGTTTCAAGCTGGGCCCCCTTTCTCAACGGGAAGCCCCCTTATCCTTCCCAAAGAGCAGTTTCGAGCAGCCATCTGGGGCTCGCTCTCCCACCCTTCAAAGGAGCCCCCGCCCGCCCGCTCGCGGAACTGTCGCCTCAAGGACGGCCAGTGCACGGTCAGCAGAGTGCGGGCGGCGCTGCCTCCCGCTCCGCCCCGCGCCTCCCCTCGGACGAGTGCGCTGCGGCGTGGTCCTCGAGGGGCGGCAGGGGACCGAGGTCCGGGCCTCGTCACGCCTGACCGAGCTCGAGCTTCCAGGTCCCTATCCACCCCTGGGGCGTGGGGGTGAGGCTCTGGGACAGCCAGGGGAGAACAAGGCGCCCCCTCCCAAGAGGGACTGAGCTTCCTCCACCTGCGATTCAAGTCCGCTTAGAGCTGCGCGCTTTGGCTTTGGGGTGAGCCGGGCATTGTTCCCTGCTGCGGCCCCTTCCTCCCACGTGGGCTTCGTTGTAGTAAACCTTGACCCCTCGAGATCCAGGGGGGGTCCTTTTTCAAAAAGAGACTAGATGAAGGAGTTTTGAGGGAGAGAAGGGAAGAAGATGGGGCGCTGAAGCCCTGGGGGGCTCCTGTGAAGGTGGAGGGTGCCACTCTTCAGAAACCCCCCAGGAGTGTCTGGGGAGGGAGGGGTCCCTTGCCAGGCGAGATGTGCAGTAGGAGAAGAGATAAGTTTGGGGTGAAGGGCTACTGCTGGGAGGGAGGGGGTTAGAGGAGAGCCGACCCCCCCAAACCGCCCTCTGGCCTCGCCCTTCTTCCTTCTGCCCCTCTCGCTCGCAGTCAGGCCTGAAGAGTGGGGCCGACCTGGTGTCGGGGACTGGTGGGTAGAGCCCCGATATATGAACCGCAGACCCCTCCCGGAACTGCTAGCATGCGGATCTGGGGCTCTCGGCGGCGGCCTTGGCTGCAGTTCGCACGCCCGGGAGCGGGAAGAGCCGCAGCTTCGGGAAGACGCCGAGCTGGTCGGCAGCGCGTGGCGGGGCTCGAGGAACCGCGGGTTCTGCTAAGGCTGGGGCGGCGGTGGGGCCGAAAGACAGCAGTGTCCGCCAGGCCTGGGGATCACAGGAAGCTGCTTTGGAACCGGGTTGGTGAGGAAGTGAGCTCTCCGTCCCTGGGCGTAGCCAAGACGGGGCGATCGCTCCCTCGGAGGGAATGTGGGCTGGGGTCTGTTTGGAGAAGGGGCCGGGAAGGGAGCTCGAGGTTTGTGCAGGGTGAGGATGGGATGCCTCTGCGCCTGCCTTGCTGGCCCTGGAGGGCCGCAGCCCCCATCTCCTCCGCTGCGGTCTGCCCTAGAAGACTCCCATTCACTTTGCTCCTCAGTCCGTGAAGGAAAAAGGCCCGCGCCCCCTCCTCGGCGCCCAGCTTGCAGCTCCCGCTGCCGCACTTAAAATGTAAATGTGCAGCGTGATTAGCCGCAGGGTCGCTAATTACAGCTGAAGCCGTTCATTACGCTGTCAGCGCGCGTCCTAGCCCGCCGGCTGTGCGCTCCATCCCGGCTGCGGAGTGGGGGTGGCCACGCGGGGTGATGGAGGGAGGAGGCGGAGGACTGGGCGTTAGGGAGTAGGCCAGAGCTGGAGGAAGCAGAGGGAGGGCGGGGTGTGTGGGTGGGGGCAGGTGGGCGGCGGAGACCTGGAGGTGGCCGGAAACGGGACAAGATGGGGCAGGGGAGAGGGTACTAGGAAGCCGGCGGTGAGAGAGGGCAAACGCGGATGCGGAGCAGGGCCAGGGGAGAAACCGGAGAGGCGGTGGGAAGGAACAAATGCCGCCGGGGTGTGTGCCACGCGATGGCTGGAAGCCTGGAGCGACAGTCCCAACGTGGTGCCTCGTAAGCATGCTGCCCACCGTACACAAAGTAGGACCCAGCAGGTGGCGTAGTGGGTACAGCGCAGGACTCCCACGTGGACTGCTGTTGCTCAAGTCCCGAACTTGGAGGCTTGAAACTCATGCCAGGTGTGTGTGCAAGCGTGCCCAAAATTCCAGAAGGAGAAGGGATTGCAGTGTGGCCATCCCCTGGAGGCTGTTTTCTCACTTCTCCTCTCACTGTTTCTCTCTGGCGAGTACATGCCCTCTATGACAAAAAACTAAAGAAAGAAAAAGGAAAAGCCATCGCTGGGCATATGCGTGTGTGTGTGTGTGTGTGTGTGTGTGTACATGCCCCAAGTCCTGAGAATGGAGAATTACAGTGTGGTCACGCCCCTGGGAGTGCTTCCTGTCCTTCCGCAACCACACATGCACCATAGCAAATTAAAAAAAAAAATTAAGCCGTCTATTACCATGTATATGTGTTTATTGATCCAAATGTATTTTTTAAAGAAATATTTGTTATTATTATTTTCCAGTTTAATCAGAGAGAGAAAGAGAGGGAAAGTGAGAAAGCAAGCCACCAGGTCTGGAATTTGAACCGTGGTCGGTCATGTGGAAGTCCAGCGTCTTTAACTACCACACCACTTGCCGGCTCAGATGTAAATATATTTTTATTCTATTTATTTATTTATTTTAATCTGTGATAGGACACATGCACCCAATGGCAAGAAAAAACCTTTAAGAAAATAACATTTACTGGGGCCGGCAGATGGTTAATGGTTAAATCTCTGGACTCCCACTTGCCAGCTTCAGTTCCAGTCCTGGACCCAGAGGCTGACTCACACTGGGTGTGTGTGCGTGTGTTCCCAAAGTCCCGGCAGGAGACTGGAGGAGAAGGGACTGTGGCGGGGCCAGCCCCCTGTGGGGTGGTTCCTGGCTTTCTGTCTCTCTCTCTGGCAAGCACATGTGCCCCTATAGCAAAAAGCTCTCTCTAAAAAAGAAAAAAAATTCAAACAAACAAACAAAATAACATTTATTATCTCCTACAATTTCTGAGGACCAGAACCCAACAGTAGCTTGAAGGGGTGCATCTAGCTCAGGTCAGCAGGAGGCTGCAGAGATGTCTCCCTGGGGGACCACCCCCAGGCTTACTGGGTCTGTTGGCCTGAGGCCTCAGTTCCACAGTAAGAGCAGCAGGTAGCCCCAGAGAAGTGATCTGGGAGGGAGTGCGAGAGAGCAGGGCCCTGCAGGGCTTCTGCAGAGCCCAGCTGCCTCCTGGGAAGTTGCCTGCCCTATTTCCACCTTATTTTACTACTTGGAAGGGAGCCCGCCCCCATCCGAGGGAAGGGCATTAGGCGCCACTTCTGGAAAGACCTATCGGAGGATTGGTAGACATTTCAGAGCCATGGCAGAAGGGGAGTGTCTGGGAGGCCAATTTCAGAGGAGAAAAGGAAGAGTCAATGTGTGTAACGAATTTGTTGACAGAGTACTTGAATCGGGAGAGGCGGACTTAGTTCTGTGCATACAGCAAGCATGTATCATGTCTGTTAAATGAACATATGAGTAACAACTTCTCTGAGATTGCTTTCATGGGCATAAGAGCACTCACCCTACAGGATGAGACTGTCCTGAGGTCCAGTGGGATTATGGGTAGTTCTTTGTACATTTTTTTTTCAGTTCATCTTTATTATTATTATTTTGCTACAGGGTGTGCACACTCACTGGAGAGAGAGAGAGAAAGAGAGAAATCAGCTCCCTTCTCCCCCATTCTCCTCTCAGGATTTTGGGCATGCACACACACATGCCTACTGTGTTTTCCAAGATGTTGGGTCTGGGATTCCAACTCTGCTGTGACCCTTGTGAGATCCAGCTATCTTTCACTACCACACTACTGGCTGGCCCTGTTTATTTTTTTTCCATGAGCAAGAGAGAAAAAGAGAGAGACCAAAAGACAGCACCCTCAATGAGGTCTCAATGCCAAGATCCATCCAGCTTCATCCAGCCCTGGATGACGGACATGGGTGCCCCTGGCGTCCTCAGGGAGATCTCTGGGTGCAACCCAGGAGGTCCTGGGTCCAGCATTGCAGAGCAGTGCACTACCAGGGCTCCACCTTCCAGCCTGGCTCCTTGTCCATTTAGCAGTGCTGGGCGGGAGCCAGCAGGTGGCGTGGTGGTTAAGGCGCTGCACTCCCACATGACCAACCACGGTTCCAGCCCTAGACCTGGCAGTTTGCTTCCTCGCTTTCCCTCTGTCTTTCACTTTGTCAAATATAAATACAGTTAAATAAAATGATTCTTTAAAAAACAAACAAACAAACAAACAAAAAAAAAACAGTGCTGGGCAATGATGCCTGGAGGTGACTGACCTGGGGGAGGAGCAGAGGGCTCTACCATGGAATTGTCCCTGCCTAGGTCAGGCCGCTCAGGTCAGATCATGCCCGACCCTGGGGCTGGGCTCTAATTCCAACACCCACCTCTGGTCTCTTGGCCCAGCCAACCTCCTCAGGGCTCACCTCCAGTCACTGTTCTTCCTGCCAGTGTCCAGAATAGGCCCCAGGAGTCCCATTACCAGCCACACCTGTCACCTTCAGGCCACTCCTGTGCTGGCTCTGGCCCTGCAGCAGGAGACAGGGATTTAAGCTGCAGACCCAGGGCAAACCCAGTGCAAAGTGGAGCTAAGAGCCATCGTCCTGATGAAATTCAGTCATTTTCATAGCAGACAGGCCGAGTCACCTGGGTTCCAGGAGGGAGAGGGGCAGGGGACGTGTG